AATAATAATAATAATAATAATAATAATAATAATAATAATAATAATAATAATAATAATAATAATAATAATAATAATTACATTTGCTAAGATGCCTGACAATTCCAGTAACTGAACTTTCGAATACTACGTGTGCAATTTTCTTTTCTACCAATCTTGCCGCCGTTTGAGCCAAATGATCCCATAATTCCATATTTTCTTGAGCATTTTTAGAAATGAAGGAATCAATAACCAGAACAGGGATATCTTCTGGATCATAAGAATGATAAATATGTTCGGCATAAAGATCTGACTTGGGAGACAATTTTACTTTAACTTTAAATACATCAGGTGCAATATTATATAATGCAATTTCTAATGCATTAAGAATTTTTTCAATTTCTGAATCGGTTGTTGAAGAAAATCCAACTATTGTATAAATGAGAGAAATGTATGAATGAGTAACGAAGTACTTTTAATTTTGGAGAATAATATAGTTTTTATTTTTTTTTTATAACTTGTTTTTTTAATATAATCTATTATATTATTATACATACCAGTTTTCTGACCAGTAACAGCGCTTGCTAATCCATCAATTAAATTAGACAAATAAATTAAGGAAAAGAACATAGGCTTGTAACCAACTTGTTTTGCTAATTTCAATACAAATTCATTTTCATTGTGAGAAATACGAATTTCATCACACTTTATAATAATTTTCTTTCTGGGTAAATATAAATAAATATAAATTAAATATATCAGTCAGCAATTACTTCTAATAATTATTAATTTAACAATTATATAGAATAAGATTACTTACTTTTTATTATGTATTGCTCGATCAATGAATTTACTTTTACCACTTCCATTTGGACCAGATACAATAATAAAAGTTTCTATTAAAAATCAAAAAATTATTCATTATTTAAAGAATATCATTATTTAAAGAATATCATCATCATCATCAACATCAAGTAAAAAAATAATTAAACCTGGAGGTTCATTCAACCATTTTTTTAATATTTCTTCTTCTTGTTCTCTCTCTTTCCAAGCTAATGTATCCTCTTCTAGTTTAATATCTTGATTCTTAAATCTTTCATATGTTTCTTTTTTAAGCCATTTATAAATTTCATAAATTTTGTATTCCTTAATATCAAACCGTTGAGTAATATTTGATTCAATAAGAAATATTCGAATTGGATCAAATCTATTATTATTATTGAAATATTAAAATAATTATATTTGAATTTTAGCTTTATCTTCTTTGACCTCTTTTGATTTTTTTTTCTTTGACTCAAGTCTCTCTATACTCTCAATAATGAAATTTACACATGCATGACCACCCTTTTTCTTGTGATGTGATTATAGTGAATTGTGACTATAGAGAGAGAAAGTGATTGATCATGGAGAGACTTGACTATATAATGAATCCTTAATATAAATTATTATTATTAGCATACATGATATATGAAATTCCAGCAAGTAACGCGGCAATAATTGGAGCCTAAAATATAGAAATTTAATTATTTTTGTAATATAATAATAATAATAATTATAGTAATAATCTTAATAATATAATAACAATAATAATAATAATAATAATAATATTAAAATCAGATATATCAAATATGAATATCAACTATAATTATGTATTTACCGAAATTCTTGGATGTGAAGCAATCCAATTAAAGAACACATTGGTCTTCAAAGGAGTTTCATAGAAAATATCAAATTTTGTACTATTAACAGATATTCCATCAACACAATATCTAGCACTGGTTGCTGATCGCATTTTTTTATAAATTATTGTGGCATATCTGGGAGTTTCTTTAGATGAACTAGGTACTAAAAATATGTGTCTTATTAATCCATACGGTCTAAATATGGGATATAAACTTTTCTATTGTATGTATAAAAAAATAAATCAATCAATGAATTAATATAAATAATTAAAGAAATAATTTAATGAAATAATTATTTACAATTGAAACATCGGGTCCTTGGAATTCGACGCGTAATCGACTATAATAATATATAAGGATATCTTATTTTTTGAATACAATCAAATTATCTAAGAAATACTAAGAAATAATAATAAGGAAAATGGACAAATTCCGAAGAATTAAAATTTTTTTTTTTAAATCAAAAATCATACCTGGAAGGATATAGAGATAAATCTTCAACAAAAGGTTCTCCCTATTAATTATCAAAAAAAAAAAATAATATATCATATCAATATTGAAGGAATAAAAGAAAAAAAAATAAAGGAAAAAGGATAAAAGAAAATACCTTAACAATGTAGGCTCTTTGTGGTCTAGGATTAAACCAAGGTACAATATTATTTTCAACTAAATGATCATTAACTAATTTATTTATTTCATCAAGTGCTTTGGTCTTTTGAGATGGATTAATTTGATATGAAAATTCAAGTAACATTCCTCCTTCCTTTTTCCTAAAAACAAAAGGTTGAAATTAACATATGAACAATACATAACATATAGAACAAACAACATACACAGCACGACACAATTATAAAATTACCTAGGGGTAACTCCTTCAACTTTAAAATTATATGGCATTATACTTTCTAATGGAATCCATTTACCAGATTTTAATTTTCTTTCTAATCGTGGTTTATTTGACCTTACAAAATAATGACGAAAATCGAATGATCCTATTTTCAAAGGATATGTATTATCAAAGAATAATTTGCCATAATGTATTTGTGGTAGTATTTGTGGTATTTGAGATGTTTTTTCCGTCTAGAAACAATTTTTTTTAAAAAAAAAAAAAAAAAAATTGGACATTTTTTATTTCAAATTAATTTCTTCATTAAATTCTGTCAACTTAAAAATTTACTGTACGTACGGAATTCGTTGAAACCGTTTCTACAATTTCCGAATAATAAAAAGGTTTTGATTCGGAGAAATGACGTAAATTTATTAATTTAAAATGTTTCGGAAAATGTTTTTGATTTCGATTTAAAATAGCAGAGAACGGTAATCGAAGAGGATTATAATTTTTTGTATGCGCAAGAACTGTAAAAACTCTGAACAACATTATTTATCAAAAAAAAATTGACGATTGAGATTTGATTATTAAGGAAATAATACGATCAGATATTATTTTTATTTCCTATTTTATCGTTTATCATTATCTTATCTTAACAATTAGATCAACTGTATTTACATAAAGAGAGAAGTAATAAATGAGGAAAGATAAAAAAGATGTATAAAGAATGAGAATTTCTAAATTCTTTATAAAAAAAAAACGTGTTCAATAAAATAAATTTTATTGATCACTGCGACGTATGCGGAGGAGTTTTTAGAACTTAAATTATTATTATTTAATAAACTATTATTTAATAAACTCCTAATTAATAAAGAGGTGATGGTCATCATGATCATGAATAAAGATATCATGATCAAGAATAGAAGTCATAAACGAAAGGCTTTTGTTTTAATTTAATTCCAAAGATTTAAGGACTTTAAACTAATTTAAATGTTAGAATTGAAAAACCGAGGACGAAAAAGGACAAAAAAAAATTAAGGACAAGGATGATAAGGGAGGAAAAATTATAGCAGATATTCAAACAAATGCTATAATAATAAAACAAAGTTGGTAACTTCATCCAATTGGTTTTTTTTTCTTCCAAGTAAGCTTCTTTGAGCACTTTCGAGCACACCTCCAATTCGATAATCTCTCATTTGTGTAAAACAGGATCAAATTAAAACGTGATATTTATTTTATACAGTAATTATTTACATGTGGTATAAAGAAGGGCTTCCTCGATGGTAATAAAAAAAAGCAGCCATCGAGATAATAATTATAATTATTATAATTATAATAATTATAATAATAACACTGTAAATAATTAACTTTAGAGGAAGAACAAGAAGAAAGGTCGTGTCATTAGGTCGTCAGGAAGAGTTACAAAGAAAAAAATGAAAGAAAAAAAAAAGAATGAAAATATCAAATAATTCTCTGCAATTGCCCCATAACTTTTTTCATGATTTACTTACAAAGTGTTTATTTACATTTTATAATATTTTTTTATATACATTGGAAAAAAATAAGGAAATCTAATAAAGAATTTTCATACTCTGTAATCTGTATACAATACTGTAATACTACTGTGACTTGTTCTGTAATCGGATCGGAAAGAAAAACACAAAAATCCAAAAAATAAACCGAATTATTATAATAATTATTAAAATGTCAATGTTTGGTAATTTTAATATGCAAAGCCACTCACCTCATCACTTTAGTCATTGAAAATATACACTTTATTGAAGATGATTTATTGTCATCCGTTTTGGCTGAACTTTGGAATGATATCAAATATACTAAAATATACTTCACATATCATATCTAAATCATATCATAATCAATATATGGGGAATAATATACTTTTCCGTGACGATTATAACTTTAAATAGTACTCACCATTTATTTATAACTTTTAGGAAATTCGTGAAATGCATTGTTAGTCTATTGTATTATCGACTTTGCACGCATACATATAACGCATTCAACGCATATAACGCATTCAAACGCATACAACGTCTGAAAAAAGTACTGATGCGACACCGAAATATTTAGAATATTCGTAAAAGCATTCTTTCTCTCAGCCCAACTACCATTTTCACTACTTTCGCTACCCTTTTTCTGTCAAAATAATGATACAATGAATCATATTTAACAATTTTTTTATAAAAATTATTTTAATGACATCTGACATCCCATTAATCCACATATCCTGACAGAGAAATTATTTTCGATCTTTTACCTTCATCAAAAATAGAAAATTAAATCTTGATTACTTACTCACATGTATATAAGTTATCAGCCTCCATATTTCCGATATTTAGTGTATTGTATTTATAACCTTGCCACAAATATATTTTAGTAAAAAAAAAAAAAACGCAAATATATTCTTTTGTAATAAAAATCATAAATCCACGTGAGGGGTGACATTAAAAAAAGAGTGCGCGCAAAATAAACTAATCCTGCAGACTTTGAACCAATAAAATTCTGTCGCCGATGGTACTTACCTTTCTAAAGATATTAATCCCGTGAATTCATTCAAATTTCAATAAAATGTAAATTTCCGAATGAAATTCCCGCCGAAAATGTATTTGTTTTGAAATTGATCACAAAATAAAAATAAAACGAAAAAAAAAAATAAATAAATTAAATGAAAAATGAAAAATAATATATATAAGCCACCAATTAATTCAATTAATTGGATTACACAAAAATGATTTTCAATTATTGATTCATTATTTTGAGACGAAAACGAATAATCAATACGCAGAATGAATCAAGATCACGGAAAGTTGAAAGTGCATCGTATTCATCTTTAATTAGACTATATATTTGACTAATTAAAGTTTAAAGTTAATAATGTATATACATACATATAGATACAGTATATTAATTATCATGTTATGTCGTCATATTTATTAAATACATTTCTTGTACAAGATTAAAAATAGTTAGAGTAAATAGTTAATAAATAGTTATAATAATAATACAGTAGTAAAAGAGGAGGTGAACAAATTATTATCTGTTATTTTATTTGTACTACGGAATGACTATTGATTAATTCCATTATTTTGGCTCGCAAACAAAAAGAAAATCAAAAAAAATCTTTAAATAACGTTTTAAACTTTATATTAAGAAATATTTTAAAAATAATACTAAAATTTTCTCTCATTTTATATATAGAAATAAATAACTTTTGAGTGTAATTGATAAATTAATTGGTTAAACTTTCGATAATTCACGACATATTTATTAGCATTTATTATATTTAATGTAAAAACCCACGAATAATGATGAACGTTGAATATGAATAAAAAAAAAATGTGTAAAATCAACATTAAATAATAAAAAATATGATCTCAAAATAAACAAATATCAACATTAATTTAACCAAATTTAAGGAATAACACTTTATTAAAAAATATAATATTTAAATACAAATAATAAAAAAATATATAAAATGAGTTACATAAACAATAATTCAAATACTTTCCATTATTGTCGTAATTTTATTTATATTTCTGTTAATATTGTTTTTAAAGTTTCACATTAACTATATTAACTACATTAAAGTTATAACATTAACTAAATTAAACTGTATATTAATAAATTATAGTAAAAATTACGCAAGTGTCTTCCAAATTTAGTATTTTTTAAAAAAAGATGCAGTGGAAAGATGTACAATCTATATGTGATATTACCTACTTACAAACTTACCACTAATTAATACTACATACCACTAATTAATGCTACAATGCTACTACTTAAATATTACTGAACGTTACGTAATGCATTTTTGTATTCTCCTACTATGAAATTACTTAATATAATTTAATAACAATGTAAGATATTCAAAAAGGATAATCCTAAAAAAAAAAATAATAATAAAAATTCCAAAAGAAGATAATTTATAAACAAATCAAGATAACAATTATCGTGAAATGTGTTGTTTGATATTTAAAGCTAATAAGAAATATCACTTTTTTTTTCCTTTCCTCTTATTTTCTACCAATAAATAAAACTAATAAAGTAATAAAAAATATAAAAGGAATAAAAAAAAAGAAAAGAAAGAATTAGAAAAGGAAAAGAAGAGAAAGGAAAAAAAAAAAGATGGTGAACCGACCTTTTAAAGGAAATATTCAAAAGTAAATATTAGCCAAACATTATTGAATTCTTTTAAAATAATAAATTATATATATACGCGATTTTTATTTAATGGTTTCTTTGTTCACCATAATTAGTTGAGTTCACCATAATAGTCGAATTCACCCACCACAATTAGTTGAATTCACCACTACAATTTAGTCAATTTTTTAAATTATATAAAATATGAAGAATAGAGAAAGATTTTTAAATAATATATCTTGGGGGTATCGTGTTACTAAATAAATATTCGCGATTATTTAGCCATTTTAAGAATTCTTTTTCAAGTTTATTTCTTTCTTTCTTTTTTGATCATTCTTATCATTTAATTTATTCATTTATTAATTATTCAATTTTAAAAATTCGACATACCGTAAAAAAAAAATCAAAAAAAAAAAGAGTTACGAAAAAATGCGCAAAACAAATATTAACAGGCAAGTGAATTTAATAACAAAGAAGAAAAAGCGTAATGAGGCGGGGAATTAAAGCAAAGAAATAAAGCCAAGTATATTTGCGCCAAGAATGGAAAATAATTATTCTACTTTTAACCAATCTTAACCACTCCTAAACACTCTTAACCACTCATTGTTTTTTTTTATACTAAAAGAAACGAACGAAATGGTGAATTTTAAATTATTTAAATTATTAATTATTAAAATTATTAAACTAAAATAAAATAAATAAATTTAAATTAAATAAAATCAACTAAACTAAAATTAAATGTAAACACAAAAAAAAAAACTTCACACAAATTCAGATCACAAACGCGATGCATCACAAACAACTACACAAACTATATAAATAATAACATAAAAAATTCATTATTTTCTCCATACACAACTTTTATCATTTTTAAAAGAACACTTATAAACGTTTTTTTTATCTGATTTTTCTTTTTTGATGATTTCCGAAATTAAATTTAATTATTATCATTATCTTTAATTTTTTTTTTTTTTATTTGCAATATATGTAATATATATTTCTATATTACCAATATATATATCTTCTCTCTCAACTATCTTTTAACCTATTTTACTTTTTACCACTTTGACATATTTTTCACTACACCTTTGCCGTAAAAAAAAATACCTTTGTCATAATAAACTTAATAATATTCATATATCCATATCACTTTACGACAAAAACTGACAAAAACTGACAACAACTGACAACAACTGACAACTAACTCTCAACAATTAATCAAAAAACTTCATTAATATTGAGATACTCAAAATTATCAATATATATATATATTTAATAAAACTTTATCGGAAGATATACTTTCCATATTTCCTGAATTTAAAAGATGGCAACTATTGGAAATATTGTAAATGAATTTAATAATGAATTTAATAATGAATTTAATAATCAATATAATCAATTCGATCAATGTACTATCGATGAATTTAATGAATTTACTAATGATTTCGAAATAAATTCATCTTTATCAACATTTAACGAAGAAATCATTGAAGAAGAAGAACAAGAAGAAGAATTTTATAGTATTGAAAATGATGATGAATATTTTGATAAAATATTACAACCTGATATCGATGAATCAAATATAAAATTTATAAATCATAGTTGCTTAATGAGTATCACTAAATATTCTTATGATCATATATTTTCTTATGATTACACATTAAAAAGTAGTAAAAATAATAATAATAATAATAATAATGATAAGAAAAAGATAAGTTCTCCTTCTTCTTCTTCAATTAATCATAACATTAGTAGAAGTAATAATAATGGTAGAAAGCAAGTTAAAATATTAAAAGCAAATTGGAAAAATATATCCATAAGAGGTCGAAGTGCTACTAAACCAGTAGTAATTAAAAAAATGGATTCTTTAAGTGCTTTTGATCAATATAAAAAGAATTTAACTAAAGATGATTTAGAGATTCGATCGAATGTAAGTACAATAATAATAATAATACTATTATTATTATTATTGTTATTGTTATTGTTATTGTTATTGTTATTTTTATTTTTATTATTATTAGATAAATATATATATTGTTTTTTTATTTTTATTTCTAGATAAATTTACTCTATAAATTAAGTTTTCATGAAAACATACTGTCGATTTATGGATATACTTTAGGTAATTATCACAATAATTTCAGTGGCGACAGTTTCTGTGGCAAACAGTTGCTATCGAAACTACAGAAACTTTAACCCTTATCTTATGATATATTATTAGTTATATATGGCTAATTTATTATATTTTTTTTTTTTCAATTTACGTTACAATAATTCTTAGATCCCAAAACCAGCCATTATTTTTTATTAACAATGTATTCTCCCAGTGGAAATTTACGTACTTTTTTACAAGAAAATCATTCAAGGATTAGTTGGAATGAAAAATTGAAATTATGTTCAGATCTAGCCAACGGAATAAAATATATTCATAGTTTTGGTATAATGCATTTCGCTTTGGTAAGTTCCTAATTACCTATTTTATTTTCATAATTTGCTTGGCAATTAATTAATTAATTAAATTAATTCATTTCTTATTTTCTTATTTCCTATTTTATACAATTTATTACACTTATTTATTTCTTACTGCATTAATTATATTAATTATTATTAAATTAATTATTATTAAATTAATTATTATTAAATTAATTATTATTAAATTAATTATTATTATATTAATTATTATTATATTAATTATTATTATATTAATTATTATTATATTAATTATTATATTTTTAAAGCATCCCAATAATATTATTTATCACAATTCAAGACTTTTAATTTCAGATTTAGGAATTTCCAAAGTTCACATAACCCCATCTCTTCAATATCTTGATACACTTAAAACATCTTTAATATTACCTTATCATGATCCAAAATATTTAATTGATCCAATGAATTTTCAACGTGATAAGTCTTCGGATATTTATACGTTAGGTATATTAATGCATGAAATTTCTTGTGGACAAATACCTCATGATAAATATTTAATTAATGAAGATAATGAAGATTATAAGAACATTAAGAATAATAATAAGAATAATAATAAGAATAAAAATAATAATAATATGATGGATAGCATGATTGATAGTATGAATAATAAGAATGGTACGGTTGTTTGAATGAATATTTATATCTTTATTACATCTCTATTATTATTATTATTATTATTATTATTATTATTATAATATTTATTTATTATATCTTCATTATATATTTTATTATTAGATTCATACACATCATATCATCCAAGCCTCTTTAACAAAATAATACTTGAAGGTTATCGACCACAACCAACTGTTGATACACCATACGATTATGTAATGTTGTATAAAGATTGTTGGAAAATGGAACCTACGTCAAGATCAAATATTGAAGAAGTATTAATTAAATTAAACAAAATGATAATTTATTATAAAAATAATGAAATCAAGAGTGAGAGTAATTTGGAAAATAATAATAATTCGGAGAAAAGTGATTTGAAGATAATGGGAGAATACAATGATAATATTAATAATAATAAAGAAAAGATGATGGAAAAAGAGAAAGATATAATAAATGAAGATGGAGGAACAAAAAGTTCAAAAAGTATTTATTTCTCTCTGGATACAACAACAACAACATATCCTACTATGTCTTTAAATAATAATATTTTAATCGATGAAGAGGTATGAAAAAATATTTCATTTTGTAATTTATTTTTTTATTTTATTTTTTATTTTTATTTTTTTATTTGATTTTTATTCATTTTTCCTTTTTTTTTCAAATATATATTATATATAATGATTTAGGAACAAGGACAAGAACGACAAGGTTTTTGTTTTCGAAGAAGATTTGCATTTTATTTATTCGTATGTTGGTTAATCATTATTATTGTAGCTTGTTGTGTAATGGCTGGATATTTTGTAGCCAAACTTAATAATGCTGCACCATCACCTTCCCCCACTAACTCTACAATATCTTCTTCTTCGTCATATCCTTCTTCTTCACATTCATAACCATGAATATATATTATTTTAATTTATTTAATAAAGAATATCTTCTTTGACAGGAATATTCTTTCAATAATTTGTAGTATAGGTATTTTCAACCACATGTAACAATAAATTATTTAATAAATTATTAATCAAAAAAAAAATATATATATATATTTTATTAAATACATATAAAACTTACAAAAAATAAATACGTAAAAATGTTTTGCCAATTTTTGTTTTTCGAATTTTGCCAATAAAATAAAAATTAAAAATTCCTAAAAAAATATTAAAATGATATCGATAAAATATAAAATTGTCCGAAATACTCTTACAATGTTAATTTCCTTTTCTACATAAGTGAATAATTAATAATAATAAATAAATAAATAAATAAATAAAAAAAGATAAAAAAGAATAGAATTATTTCTACATTTTAAACCTATTTGATAACAATGTTCATATAAATAAAAATAACATAATTAATTTATATATAATTTATATTCGATTTTACATTTCACAAATTCTATCACGAATTTTGTTATTAATTCCGTCAGCCCATTCCATGAATTCATTACAAATTCCGTCTCCATAATAAAGTGCTTCGGATATATTCATAAATGTGGTGTTTATTACTGGTTCAATCATCTCAAAGTTGGTATTAGAACATTGAATTACTTGAAGTGACACCAGATTGTTGCATTCGGCAATTGTGAACCATGGTTTACAATCTTTAAAATCTACTTCTTCAAATTTCATGTGGCGTAATGTCTTGGTGCATTTACTCAATGCGGGAAGAAATACATGCGTGTAACCTTTACATTTCGATAAATGAAAGGAGCTTAAATTTTTTTGGGCTGATACGAGCGCAGTGAATGATTCTCCAAATTCGGTCACAATTTGTGTATCTGGACGGCGTGACCATAATGTGTGAACGTATACATGATTCTAAAGTAAAAAATAAAATTTGTTTGCTATTAATTATTATTATTATTATTAATTATTAATTATTAATTATTATATTATTTATTTATTATTATTATTATTATAATAAACTTTAACATAAAAAAAAATATATATATATTACCAATTTGTGACATATTCGCGATAACATAGATATTAAATCATTTGTAACTTTAAACATTACATTAAATTCCAAAGAATGAATTGACGCAAAAAATTCTTCTAATTCTTTGTCAACGAAGCATTTCGTTAATGCGAGTGTTTTTTTATCATCTTTATCATTATCACTAAAGATAAAATCGTATATAAGAATATTTAAGCTGGACAATCTTGCCCCTTTGTTAAAACAAAGTTTTAAAATCGTATGTAATATTAAATATTCGGCTTCCTCAGTTAATTCTGATTCTTCACCATACTTTTGTCTCATTATATTTTCTAAATCATTGCACCATTCTATTACGGCCAAACATAAATTTATGTATGACAATGATCTAAGAAACGAGGGATAAACAAACATTGGTTCTTTTTGAGTGATAATATTATTATTATTACCATTATCAAATTCATTAAAGTCACTTTCTTTTTCAAATAATTCTTCATTTTCATCACTGTTTTCGTCATCATAAATATATATTTTTTGTTGATTAACGGGTGTAACTAAAGAAATATCAATTCCTTTATTTAAAAGATTTTGTTTATCTTCATTACTAAGAAATCTAAAATACATTTCGAGTATTTTATCACTAGTTCGAGGTATAGGTTCATCTTCAGAAAATCTTAAAAAATGAAAAGGTCGTCCCCATAATATAGGCATGGCTACACTACACCATTGACGACAAACAAAGATACAAGGGTAAAGATCACGTAATCCGATACTCGAGTATTCCCCGGTTAAATCGTTGGTATCGGCAAGTTTTAGAAAGATTTCTCTTAAAACATCGGCATTTAAGAATTGCATCTTGTACGTTAATTTTTTTTTTTTTTTATCAATTCTAGTGTATAAATTTTTTAAAATAAAACTTTTTATTATTCTTTTTTTTTTTTTTGGTTAAGAGAATGAATGAGTTGAAACGTTAATAGAATTGGAATTAATTAATTTTTTTTTTTTTTGTTTCTTTATATTGTGGGATTTTCTTAAAAAGTGTCAAGGCGTAAATTGATGTGTGTTGACGATAGCCGACGAAATTGGAAACTTGATGTATGGGGAAACAGGAAGTCCAACAAGTTTTCGAATAATTTCAATAATTTCAATAATTTCGAATAATTGAATTTAAATAATTTAAAAATAAATTTCAAATATGATTATATAATTAAATAGTTTATATAAATTGTAAAAAAGAAATTTAAAAATTCATTTAGAGATTTTGGGAAGTTTTTTTTTTTTGTTTCGTGAGTCAAGTTTTTTTTTTATTTTTGTAAAGTCAAATTTTTTTTTATTTTATTTTCGTGAGTCAAGTTTTTTTTTTTTTATATTTAAAAAAAAACTGAGACAAAAAAAAAATGGAGTTCCAAATCAACTTTATATATATATAACTTCAACCTTTCTTAATTATATTCAAAGATCGTTAGGTAATCAATTTAAACAATGATAAACAATCTTGGGCGATGCAAATCAAATTACAAGAATTTGTTTTCAAATAATGGTAATTAAGAATTGTTTGAGATCTTTGAGTGCGTATGGTTTTAACCCCGGAATACAAAGTTTGAAATAACTTTTCTTGCAGCTTGAGAGAAATTTAATTTTGTTATGCATGCTTATACCTAGTTTTACGTAATATAAGTTTTTTTTTATAACAAGGATTTTTTTTTTTTTAATTATTTATTTTTTTTAAAAAAAAAGAAAGAACGACGATGACGTGATGATAAACCGCTTAATAATTTTTGACATTTTGTACAGCAAACAAAAATTTGATCCATTTTTTTTGATAATTGATATGATTCAGGGAGTGCTGAAACATATCATTATAAATTTTTAAGAATGGCATAACTCTTCAACGATAATTATACGTTTGAACTCATGTGATATAAACGTTTAAAGGGTTCTGATTTGTCAATTAATTTTTGTATCAGGGAATGTGTTGCAAATAAATGTCATTTTAACAAAGACAATTAAATACAAAGAGTTGAAGAATATTATAATATATGAAAGTTAAAAATTACTTTGTTCCTTTTATATTACTATTTATTAAATGATAAAAAAGTTTCCATTAAAACTAAAAATGGTTTAACAAACAAAAATTACAACGAACCCTTTTATGTATAAAGAACAATTCAAACAAATGATTTACAAAAATTATAAATAAAAAAAAAAAAAAAAAACTTAAAATAAAATTAATTATTTAATCAAACTTTGTTTATTATTCCTTGTCTACATTAATTATTAATAACTTGTCTTTATTATCATGTCGTATTATGTCGTCATAAAATAGTGTAATATTTAACCTTGTTGTTTTCTTTCTTTTCTCCTTGAATTTTTAATTTCCGATTTTCAGGTTTCGCGTCAATAAATTTCCTAAAATATCCGTAATGATGGTTAAAATGACGGCTGGAATAATAAATAAAATCACCAAAAAAAATCACCAAAAATCATAAAAAAGTCACAAAAAAATCATAAAACATCACAAAATGTTGAACCTTGAACACAAAAAAAGATTTAACAATGTTCATTAAAAAAACCAAAAAGGTACTTAACAATGTATATACTATCTTTACATTATTCCTAAATTTAGGTTCTTTAACAACATTAACAACTATATTTCATATATACATAGCCAAATATGTTTCATTTGAAATATATATATATATATATATTGAAGTAAAAAAATTCGAAATGTGCATCGATATGCAAACAGAAAAGGTGTGATAAAAATACTGCTCATCCTCAATGCAAAGGTATCGTTTTTGATAGATCTACGGTTATTTTTTGATAGACTTATTTTTGAATAACGTGATACAACCAATATATTGTCACGTGATTAATAGAGTAAAAGTCATGTGATTATAAAATAATTAAACCATAGATTTATCAAAAACGATACCTTAGCCATCCAATAATTCCTCGAGTAATATTACTTTCATGTGATTATCAAATGATAGAATAAAACGTGACAAATAGAGTTTCCTAATATAAATTTTAATTTGAAACTTGAAATTTTCATTTCTCATTTATTCAAATCATATTAATCCTGTCCCGTACATATATAACTGAAAGAATCAAATCGTGTAAAGCTCTAATCGGTTCAATTTCGGTTTATATTGAATATATTAAGACCGATTATATGTTATTTATATTCATATGTTAAGCAGGTCCTTTTCTAAAGAATTCTTTAAAGAATTATAATTACATATAACAATGATATTATTTTTTTTAAAAAGTGAAATAATTACACAAGAAAATTGTTCCAATTTTTATTTTCATAACTAAATTTTTGAATTACAAGAAGAGGAATTTATATTTTCATCTATTTTTTTTTTTTTTTTTTTTTTAAAAAAAAAAAAAAACCTATTAATAAATAAATTAAATTCACCAACTCACACACACACACACGCCAATTTTATTTTATCAATAATATTAGAAAAATTCTAAAGAAATGAATATTATACAAGAGCCAAAATAATAAAATTTAAAGTAATAAAAATTAAATTATAGTAATGAATTAATTATTATAATAATATTAAAATTAATTATAATAAATGAATTACAAATGAATTGAGACAAAAACGATCATCAAACTTATACCCAAAGCAAATATTCCTTGGGTTCTGACCGTAGAAGCAGTGCTTTCTTCAAAAGTTGTATTACTAGGTCTATTTGTGGGAGGAGCTACTACTACTACGGTAGTGACAGGTTCAACTGTATCAATTGTCGTAGTTTTACCCGAAGCATCAGTAGTAGTTATTTTTTTGGTAACGGATGTGACAATCTTAGATGTAATTCCTTTACTTGTATTTTTATCATTATTATCATCTTCACTGGTAGTTGGGGTAGCATGTGATTTATTTGTTTGAGTTGCTTTGGTAGTACCCTCATTTTCAGTAGTGGAATTATCATCTTTATTTGTAGGTTTATTTGTTTCGGTGGAATCAGAATTATCTTTTGGAGTGGTTTTAGCGGGTGTGGTGGGAGAAGTATTAGTATCAGTATCATCATTATTGGTTGGAGTGGGGTCTTCAGTAGTGCTGTTGGAAGATATTAGATTTAAAAGTGTTATTTCAGTATTTTTAGTATTTTCAGTATTTCATTTTGTGAAAATGAGTATTATAATACTTACGCATCTGAATCAGTTTCTGCCGTTGTGCTAAATATTTTTTTTAAACAAGAGAATTAACAAAATTAACAAAATTAACAAAATTAACAAAAAATGAAGTAAATTAAATTCAAATTTTATTAATCGAATTAAGTGATTAATACATACCTTGGGGTTTCTTGTTCTTCTTCTGATGAAGTGCTTGTAGGAGCACTATTAAAGAATTAAAGAAAATTAAATATAAAAAGGCTTCACATTTTCATTTTTTATTCCTAATGATCACACAAAAATTAATTAAAATAATTACTCACATAGGTGGTGCTGATGATGCACCAGCTCGTCTTTGAAATTCTAAGGTATTGAACGGTGTATTTAATGCTAATGATGTAGATGTAGTGATCATCAAAGTGATGAAAAGGAAAAGGAAAAGGAAAAGAAAGACACTTTTATTAAAAATTGACATTATGATATGAATTTTGTGAAATGGATATTTGAAAGTTTTTTTTTTTATATCTAAAGAAAGTATTTATATCTCGCTGAGATAAAGTATAATATATAGTATTGGAGATATAGTATTAGATATAGTGTTTTTTTTTTGTGTGTTTACAATATTGTGTCCTCTTCAATAGGATACACCCAAAGAATTTTCTGACGAGAAAAAGTAATAGAAAATGAAATTAGGAACCAACACCAACAAGAAAAAGAAGAATTATATATTAAATTTTTGGTGATACGAATTCGGAAAACAAATTATTTACCACGTTTTTCTTTTATAATTTAATGTGATCAATTATTTAACATGTGCTATACAAATAAAGACAATAATAGCAAGATATATTAATAGAGAAGTTAATTTCAAACAAGGGATTTCGATTAAATTCATATAATTGGATATATAATTTATTGTGCATAATAAAAAAAAATTGACTAGTCACAATTGCAACATTAATATTTACATTTATAGTAATATAATTAGACAATTCAAGAAATTCGCCTCCTGTATAAAGATTTAAAATATTCGGTAAAGAAAAAAAGATGATTCGATTCTGCAATAATTGCAAACTAGAATTACAGCAATCACAGCGAAGATGTTTTATTTTTAGATTTTTTTTTCTGGTACCAATAATTTTAATGTTATTTATGTAAATAATCTTGAAGGCGTCTTATTTTTTGTGTGGCTATTGAATTGAATCTATTTAAATGTGGCGTGCTTGATGATTGCGCAGAAATTAGCATTACTTTATTCATACTTTTCGTAGTAGCGAATCGTAACAATTCTCTCCTCAAACCTTAATCTTTTGTTAACATTTAAAAGTTTTTTTTTTATTTTTTTTACGTCCTTAGTTTCTGTACCTTAGCTTTCCGTTTCTTCTTTATTCTCTGTAAATTCCATAACCATTTATTATTATTATTTTTTTATTATTCTGTCCTCATAAAAATTTAATTACAGTACCAATAAATCATATTTTGATGTTTGACAAGTTTTCTTTCATATAACATACATTTATTTATGTTACTCAAATAATAATTGAATTGACAGTTGTAACATGATTTAAATTTTATATTACCAATTTTATGTATTAGCGAGCATATATATAAATAACTCACAAAACTTACAGGTCAATGACACAATGACAAAATTTTAATAAAAAAATGAAAAAATGAAAGCTCATTTTAATCAATTATCCTTCTATAAATTATATTATAAAAGGCTAGAATTAAGACAGTACTATGAAAAGTATCTTCACTACAACAAGGATTGATTTAAATGAAATTAGATATAAAATTTTTGAAGAGCTCCTGTTGATAAATTTAGATTTTTTCTTTTTATAATATAATACAATGCAAAAGTTATGCAAGAAAGATTGGTCAATATTTTTTATTATAACAAGGTCCGAGAATGCTCACCCCTATTCGAATCCTGCAACCATCATAGATGGATTTTTTGAAAATTTCTATTAATCAATGGTTCCGTAAATGGAATGACCGCAATTTTCGAGGCAAACGTTATGGATTCATGTTTAAGAGAATAATATACACCAAATTGAATCGGTTTTAATCTGTACGAAAGTATTTTAGATGAGGATAATCAACGAATAGAGTGCAGGTGGTGTTAAACGCATAATTTTGTTTTGATGTAATAATTGTTCAAAATTGTGCTTTTGTCATCTGTGATTTTGTTTTCTCTGCTCAACTTACAGTAATAAAGGCACAATTTTGTTTTTATGTAATTTTTGCTCATAATTGTTCAAAATCGTGCTTTTGTCATCTGTTCGTTGATGTAATTTTCGTTTGTTCTGCTCATAATTGTTCAAAATTGTGTAAATAGAATTTGTAGTTCAAAAAAAAAAAAATAAATATTTCACAATTCAACACTTTTTAAATTATGTTTTTTTATTTTTTTTATTGTCAAGTATGAGCAAATCTCCTTTAAAATACAAGAACAATTTGCAATTATCAACTTCACAATGTCAAACAACTCTAACAACTCTTCTCACGAGAAGAACAACAAAAATCGAAAATATACTATGTAAGAGTCTCAAACAATCACCAAAAAGAAGATCTCCAAGTCAAGTACCCAACCCATGAAATCATCAAAGACATTAGTTCAGGCCTCAACTACAAATGCAAAGGATTTCAAACCTTATTGGAATGAGTTTACAAAGTAAATGTCTCAGAAGTTGTTGTTACCCACAAAGACAAGCTCTGTCACTGTGGATTTGAACTCATTAAATTCATCTTCAAGAAGAATTAATTAACACAAAATTCATGGTTCTCAGTCAAATTGTTGAAGAATGAGACACAACAAGAGAACTTTCAGATGATCTATAACTACTTTGTGGCAAAGAGTAACAGATTTCCTTCAGAAAAAAATAGAAGAAAATGAAAGCAAGCCAAAGGGAAAGAAACAAATGATGACAAACAAAAAAAGAAGAAAAAGAACCTGTAGAGAAAACAAAAAAAAAATAAAACTCTTTTCAATTCAAAAACAGATGAAGTAGTTTGGAACAACAAGGTAAACCTATAACCAAGTATTATCAACAGTAAAAAATGATGGAATTCCTCAAAACAAAAAGCCTTAAGAGCTAAATGTTTAAATTCTGAAATTTTCAAAATGATAATAAGTGGGTTTTGAAGACACCTTATGATGTTTGAGATGAAAGAATGAATGATGTGCTTAAAGCTTTTAAGTCAACTTTATTGTGCAAAAGGAAGATTCAAGATTAATTATCGAAGAAAAGAAAAAAAAATCTGAATCAATTGTCATTCATTATAAACATTGGAGTCTTCATTCAAGAGAATTTGGTATATACCCTATTTAAGGGGCAGAACCATTACCTGATAAATTAAATTATGATTTCTGTCTCCAAAAAACAAAATTGGGAGAATTTATCTCTGTATTCTTATGCCACTTGAAATTAGGAGTAAAAATCAAGCTCCTAAGTGGACAAGAATTGAAGAAGGAATACTTGCATTAGATCCAGGATTTAGGACATTTTCAATTGGTTATTCTCCTTCAAGATTAGGAAAGAATGATATTGGAAGAATTTATCATCTTTAGGAAATTTGACATAAAAAGATACAAGATTGTTGAGCAATACCACATCATTTTATTTCCTGAATTCAAAACACATAAGAAGCAAAACAGCAAGGACAATGCTTGAATGGTCACATTATCATTTTTGATTAATAAGACAAGAGAATACCCTTAGTGTAAAGTTGTAATCTGTGATGAATATTGTACTTCAAAGACCTGTAGATGTGGATATTTTCATCAAAAATTGGGATCAAGAAAAACTTTCAAATGTCCTAAGTGTCAAATAGAAATGGATAAAGACATTAATGCAAGAATTATCCTTCTTCGATACTTAACTCTCAATATGTGCCAAATTGAAAAGTTTGATCAATTTAATAAGTTTAATTGTGAGAGAGGGCTGTAAGGATAAAAATAAAAATTTGAAATTGAAATAAAATCACATATTATACTTTTCTTTTTATTAAAATATTCAACTGAAGGACAGAAAAACTTAAAAAGAATCAATAAATAAATAACCATAAAAGTGCTAAAAAACCAATAATCTTCTATATTAATGAAACCTTAGTTCTAGCCAAACCGCCCCTGAAATTTTTTATAGGTTGAGGAACCATTTGTAACCTTCTAAATGCTTCGTGAATATGAGAAGGTTGTAATGCTGTTTGTTCAGGAGGAGGAGGAGAAAACAAATATGAATTTTCATTAAAATTCCTGTTATTTAGCCGTGGCCGTTTTATACCCTTGTGAATAGTTTGTTCTCTGTCAAGATCTTGTTTAACTCGAAGTGCTGTTTCTGTGAGTGTGCTAACCATCTCGAATGTCAAAAATCCCAAAATATCTATAATATCATCATTTGGTTTCATATCAATATAAGCTGACATATTTGCCCACTCTCGAAATCTCTTAGCTTTTCTATATGTAAATGATGCTTGACGACATTCTGAATAATGAACATATTCGTCCCTTGTCATGGCTCTCGTAATTTCGTCTGCATCCTAAAAAAAAAAATTTAAATAAAATTGATATAAATTTGACAATGCGTTGTAGAGAAGAATATACCTTTAACCGTTGAATTGAATCATTATAAGCTTCTAACTCTTCTTCATCGTCTTCATCCGAATCCGCATTTAAGAATTCCGAAAAAGAATTCACCAATTCCCAAGATAATTTTACTTTCATTTTACGTGCCTTTGCTATAGTTTAATTACAAAAGTTCTGAGTAAATTATATTTGATATACATAATAAAAAAAAAAATTACAACAAATACCCGCATTAGGTTCTTCCATAATTTCTTCAGCACCATCATTGCCACCAGTGTCTTTAGCATTTTTCCGAACATCCTTCCAACTCAAATATGTCCTTAAACGATTCACTTTTGCTCGGTCATGTCGAATCAAAAATATTAAATCTTCTGCACTCATATAACGCGATCCGCGCTTTGCAGCTTGTGCTGCAGCTTGTATAATCTACAAAAAAAAAATAAAATAAAAAAAAAAAAAGGGGGAGATAAAAATAAAAATAAAAAATAAATTGTAGAATTTCAACAATAAATAGTTTAAAATCTTTAAAATCATACAATTTCAACAACTTGTGATCTAACAATATCTTCCACAAGCATAATTGTTTCTTGTAGTGGTTCGGGAACTTCACCAAAAACAAACATCATTTGTTGAATTTCAGAAGAATATCGATATTTTGATTTGTCTTTATCCTAAATTATTAATTTAGAATGTAGTAGAATTTAATTAGGGACAATAAAACTAATAATATATAAAATATATAATAAGTGCATAAAATTATAAAATACCAAGGGTGCTTTAATGTCTTTGGCGTCTTTATTATTTTTATCTGCCGCTATCGTTTTCTGAGTTTGGTTCATTTTTTTTTTTTTTGGATAAAAAAGCTATCTTAGACAATCTGTTTATGCTTTTGCGTTCGTGCAAATCTTACTAAAACTGACCAGTTCAAAGTGTACAAATGTATGAACTAGTCTCAATATGTATTTTAATTTGAGTGGATATTGTTAGAATTTATATAATTTATATATCAATAATAGTTTGATTATCTCCTCATGTTATAAATATATAACTCTGGCGGGAATTAAAATTAAAACAATCAAATCTTGTCAATCAGTTAATCATGGTTACCTCATTGGTCAGTTGATCAGGATATAACTTAACAAACTATAAAATGCAACTCAATCATTTTTACTCGTTTTTTTACTGTCGTTCTTTTTTTTTAAAAGGTACATAGCAAAAAAAAAAGAAAAACGACTAAGTTTAATTAATTCTATCAAGGTAGGTTTTTTTTTTCATATTATATCGTCTCCTACTATAGTAACCTCTCCACTTTAAAGTTATTTGCCCGTTTTGCTGCTAAAGTGACCAACCTTTTGTTAGTCACTTTTCAGCATGCAAAGGTTCATTTGAGATTTCAAGGTTTAATATAGTGATCAAAAATTTATTATACCTAAAATACGTAGTTTTTTAAATGATATCATATCGATATAATATAAAGCGTTAAGCGATATGACGATGAAATAATTAATTATTATATTTTTTTTTTCAAAACCAGTTTAGTAAGGATTAACGGCAAAAAAAGGCATGTAGATTAATTGATTATTATTTTAAATCAACGGTTCGATTAATTATAAATTTAGATTTTAAATATTATTTCTTATTTTAATAATTAAAATTAAAAAAAATTAAACTCTTAAAGACAGAATTAGGTAATTTTTTATTTAAAAAGGTTTTATTAGAGAAATTATTTTTTTTTTGATTTGTAATAGATTACACAAAAATAGTTGTCCACAGGTGATATATTTCATAGGAGCTTGATTTCACATGTAGTAGTCTCGTGACTTATTTCTTTAATACTTTTTATATATTTTAGGATTATTTCAAATTGTAATAATGAAAGAATATCATAAGCTTGCGGTAATAAAAAAAAATAATACTTGGTTATATATAATTTATAGACTTGTGAATTTGTCATTTTATTTAAATAATTTAAATATCAATAGGTGAAGAACATTTATAAGAATTTGACCTTCAACATACAAGGAGTTCGCTCATGGGTACTTATAATATTTCTTTCTCTATTCTGATCCAATTATATAAACTTTAAAAAATAAAAAATTTTTTTATAATTTTGCAAATACACTTTTAGCGAATGAATTTGTCAGCAGTGTCTTTGTCTCAACAAACATTTTTTGTGGCAGTTGATACTATAATTCATGTGTATCGATTACTTGAGGAAGAAAATCCCACTGAAGTGGCACAGGATTCATCCCTAAGAGAGCCTATAAAAAAACTTCAACGTAATCATGACAATCCAGAGGTATAACTCGTTCATCAAATTGACTCGATTTAAATATATATGGATATATGGATATATATATATATATGTATATATGTATATAAATAAATTAATTATTAATTAATTAATTAATTATTTTAGAACCATATAATTAATGCTATAAAAGTGGGTATGCTTGGATTTGAAGAAGTTTTAGTATGTGTTGATGATTTTGGTGAGGTGTGCGTGTGGTATACTGCTAATCTTGATCGAACCCCAATTCGTTTCATGTAGGATAAAGATTTATGGTTTGGAAATTAAATTTAAGTGGTTCTTATTTAATTAAATATAAAGATTAATATTTCTTATTATAATTGTTTAAGCAACGAAGAATCGACGTGGGGTATAGCTCTACATGGTCCCAAACGTTTATTAGCTGTCAGTTCGAATTCTCATAAAATCACAATTTATGATCTTCGGAATGGATTAAAAGATCCAAAAAATCCGAATGATATGGATTTGTCTGAAAATGTGAATATACAAGGAACGTCATTTTTACCTTCTACTTCGAAGTTGGATAAAAACGGAATATTACATTATTCATTGGTCGGTCACACTCACAATATACCAAATATATCATTCAGTCCTTGTGGTCAATATTTGGTTTCATGTAGTGTTGATTGTTCTTGTCGAGTATGGAATGTTCAAACGGGTGGAGAAATAGTGGGTAAGGATATATCTCGTCTCTGGTAAGATTTTATGAATTATTTTATCTTTTATTCATTTATGTATTTATGTCGCATATTTAAGAAATCTATTAAATTTTTTGTTATTATAATAGGGGTTGGTCCGCGCGCTTCGTTTCATCGTCAAGTTTTGAATTTGTTCCAGAAAACAAAATAAGCAAAACTATTACTATTCGTAAACCTAAAAACCGAACACGACGTCAAAATAATCAAAATAATCAATCTGATATAAATATCATGAATACAGTAATAAGATCACATATTTCTATGCGTGAGAGAGTTCTTAACTTAGATTCAGAATATGAAGACGGATACTTTTTCCCCCCTGAGGATGAATCATTTGAAAGTAGTGAGCATGGTAGTAATCAGGAAAGTGAATCTGAAAATGAAAATGAAGATGATCCATATCCTACACAAGAACGAATGTACGGCGTACGCGAATTTGTACCATCCATTGATTATGAACGTGAACGTGATTATGAAAGTGATTCGCGTACTATTCCTATGACGGATGATGAATGGACCTTGTCTTCTGAAAATCATGATCGCGAGGAGAACGAACAGGGTGAGCAGGATGACCAGAATGAACAGAATGAACGGAACGAACAGAATGAACGAAACGAAAATGAATCACCAATTATTAGACCCGGTGCCCCTAGAATTTCACCAGTTGGAGTAGTTGCGAATTATCAATACTCTCATTGGGTACCTCGTGAATATTCGTATAGTGCCACCTCACCTCCTTATTCTCCACAAACGCCACAATATTTTAATTTTGCCTATTCAAATAGTAATTCTGAACATCGATCAGTTCCACCTCCGCCTACACCACGTCCAGCTTCTGCGAATTTTTCCCCAATCGTAATGTCTAGACAAACATCTTCAGGTTACTTGGTCTCTACTCCAAATCGTCAACCCCCAAATAACCCTAGAACAGCACGATTTACACCAATATCTCCAACTTATTTTCCAACTTCACCAGCTTATGTTCTAAGTCCTACTTATTCGCCTACCTCGCCTCAATATTCAGAGATGTCACCTGTTTATTCGCCGACTTCACCAAACCACATCGAATCACCTAATTACGGAAACACATCACCAATATCTAATTATAGTAATTCCACATTAAATTATGGTGATACTTCCAATCACGAAGCTACTTCCTCTAATCGTGAAGATGCTATTTCTAATTGCCCCGTTACCCCTGATTATGGGACTATTACCCCTACCTACGAATCTGCTACTCCCGCTTACGAACCTGCCACCCGCAATTATGGAGCTATCACCCCTGATTATGGATCTACTACTTCTGAATACGGAAATACCTCACCAAATTACAATCCTTCTCCTAGTTATGGTGCTACTTCCTTTTCCCCTATTCGCGAAGAAACTCCCCAAACTATTTATGATGAAAATTATAATGACACTGGATCAAATAGTGATGGTGATGATTCGCCAAATAATGAATTTGGAATGCAACCACCTTCTCCATTATTTTCACCAAGTACACCATATTCAATACCAACTTCACCCACGTATAGAGAAGCCCGCGAAGATTCAACAATTGATGATACTAGTGAATCTAGATATAGTGATACCCCAATTTCTCTTGATGATGATAGTTCATTGTCTTCCCAAGAAGAACAATCGTCTTTACAATCACGAGAGAGTCCCGGTATAAACGCGTATGATAATTATGATAATAATGCTAGCCCATCACATTCAACTACTTCGGGAGAGTCTTCGGGACGTCGATCATACGAGAGACAATCAAATTATAGTCCAACATATATACGCCTTGTGCGGAGAAATTTGTCATTATTTACGGATTTAAATGATAATATATCAACAGATGAATCAGGATTCACTCGTATAAGTGATCGCAGTATTAAAAGCAATAATCGAACTAAGAAGAAATCCATATTAAAGAAAACTCCTCAGCAGAAATCCCAAAATGCTATTAATGAACTTATACTTTTTGGTACACAAACTGATTTATATCTTTTAGATCCTAAATCTGATTTGTGTATACTGGATTGTAAAAAAAGTATTGTAACAAGAAATGATATAAGGCGTGGAATGAACATTGCAGAATTTGAACGGTTGAATATGATTGAGGTAAGTATGTAAAATTAAATCACGATAGTGCATAATTATTACGAAAAAAACGTAATAATGTATCTTTAATATTTTTTGTCTTCTATCAGTATGTACCAGAGCTTTCACTTGCAATTGTGGCTAGCCAAAAAGGTCGAGTTGCCTTGGTTAGAATATTAAGGCAAGAAAAAGAAAAGAAGAAAGAATTTTTCGTTTTTACTTAAAAAAAAAAATTGATTTCTTAAAAAATTTGACTTTATTGTTTTCTCTAGATTTTACAACTCTCGAGGAGAAATTAATTATTCTCTTCATCCCGAAATCAATTTACCTACATTTCCTTTGCCACCTTCGCCCTTATTAGGTAAAGCATGATTGATTTTAATCACTTAGAAATTATTCTTAATTTATTTTTTAATATATTAATTGAAATATTTAAAAAATAGGAATGTTTATCGTGAAAAATGAAAATTTGCCAAAGAATTCTTCATTGTTTTATTGTTGCCTTTATCTGATTTATTTAAATGGAGAATTTTATTGTTATGATATACGAAAATCGGAAGAAAATTATACTTTGGGAGTACCCGAAAAAATTTGGTTATAAAAAAAAAAGCATTTTTGTAAAAAAAAAAGTCATTTTGTTTATTCTGTAACACAATCAATTGAACTCAATACATATGTAATTATAACCAAAATAGTTTTATTTGATATTCTATTATCATTACGGCATTTTCGCGTCTTTGTCAAAGGAAGGCTAATAAAACATCTTACCATATATGTGGGCGGAACTAAATATTCGGCCACAAATCTCCCTGCCTATTCTCAAATCTCCCTTGTCTATTTGCACCGAAAATTGTCTATTTTTGTTTATTCAACCAGTGGTAGTATCAAAAAATTAATAAAATATCTCGAAACTGTTTTTATCATTATTTCAAAAAAGAACTGAAAGATTGATTCTTTTTACAGCTAGAATAAACTAGTTACTGTATCATAAAACCATATTACATGTTAGAATTTTCATATAAAACTGGTGGAATACATAATTGAATTTATAATATAATATATTAAGTGTCAATATATACATAAACATCTATGTAAATTTATAAATTATTTAATAAATTTGTCAGCATTTTCCCGGATATAAAATTCTATTGAGCGAGACTGAAAAGTTACAGTCTTATTGCTTGGATGATATGCAAACACATTATTCTCTAATAACTGGTTCGGTTCCACTTTGGTCAATTCTCGAAGCATACTAACATGAAGAATATTATTAGAATTTAATAAAGCTCTTATAATAATTTTTGCAATCTCGTGATTTTTTTGATTTGGATTAATCTTTGCCTTTTCAAAATTATTAAAGATGTTGTTAAAAACTATTGTTTTGATGTCTGCAGAAAAAAGTTAAACAATTAATCCAAAGTATAATGCGTAAATTCATTGCAAACTAAAAAACCAATCCTTACCTTCAAAGGATTGTCCAGCTAGAGATTTGTCTGCTACAGACTTCAAATTCACAAGACGTCCACCAACTAAATCATATAGTCTTTCTGCTTCTACAGAATTAATCCCACGCTTTTTGATTAGATATTCCATTGTTTCTTCTTTGCTAAGGTCACCGATTTCTATTAGTGGTTTATCTGCTCGTGACGAAGCACTGCGTTCTAAAAATAAGAATATAATCTGTAATTTATGATTTCTTTAAAGAGTATCAAAAATTCGCATTTACTTACGCTCCATTCTTTGGGGAACTGAACCTTCACTTGAAACAAATACAGCAACAAATTTCCTTTCATCGGCACCCTTTTTAGCTCCATCCTGAAGGGTGTCAAGAATTTCTAAATATTTGGGAATCAATAGACTAATACTATCATAAATAATAACCGGAGGTTTGCCATATTTCTTTTTATATAATGTAGAAGTACACTTAAAAGCTTCTAAAACTCTCTCCCATTTCTCCAGCCTTGGTTTTTCTATAAAAGAAAAATTAGGATCAAAAGCTTTGTTATCAAAAATAATGCCAAAACCAATTAACCTACCAGGAGTAATACCCAATATTTTATTTATTAATTGTGCCGTAAAGGAGATATGTTCCTCAAATGTAAAGTTAAGGACTTTCCCAAATGCCATACCAAACTTTTCGATAGTTGGATTTTCAGGAACATCAAAATATATTACACCCTTCCCAACTTCTTTTGATGCAATCTTTGTCAATGTTGTTTTTCCAGTTCCATGTTCACCACAGATCATGTAATAATTTGATACATTTTTATTTGGATTGAAAATTCTTTTGAGATGTTCCACAACTAAAGGTCGTTTAACGAGCTCCTCGTTCGCAACATCAGCTTCGGGTTTAGTGCCCTTTTCCAATGTTTTAAGGTCTGGAATTTGTATATCAAATACATTATTAATTTTATTATTATTTTCTTTAATGAATACAGATAAATCGTGCCTTAAGTCTTGCTCTATTCTTTTATTATATGGGATTTTTATTCCAGTATTTGTGCTTGATCGATAACAGGATTTATCTCATTTTGTATATCAGAAGAGGAAGATGTATTTTGTATTGATCCTTGACTCTGAAGTTTCTTTTTCCAATTCCTTTCTCTTATTTCATTACTAATATATTCTTTGTGTACCCGATCCAGAAATTCGATCCCTTTATCATCAAAAGATTTAGTTTCTATGCAAATTGGCGATGTGGAGCATTGAGTCTTTGTCTCTTGGCATACATTTTCAGATAATTCCGAAAAAGCGTTATCAGATGCATCAGAATTTGGAGCATTATTGAGTTCATCAGAATTGAATCATTATTAGATATATCAGATGCAGGAGTATCATCACATCGTAAGTCTATCTGTTCATGAGTATCGTTAGAATTTTCCGTTTCGGTAGATGTGATATTAACTGAAGATTGATTGATTCCCTTGGCATAATCATCTGATTTAACAATAAAGTTGTTCTTTTCATCGGTTTGCGGTTGCTTTTGTTCTAATTTCGCAACTCTAGCTTTAAGCTCAGCATTTTCAACAGCAGTATCTTTATCGTTCTGCTCCAATTTCGCAAATCTGGATTCATGTTCTTCCAAAGCTTGTTTTAATTTTACGTTCTCAGCTTTAAGTTCGATGTTCTCTGCCTCAACTTCAGCAAATTTCTCTCTAAGTTCTGGAATTTCAGCATTCTCCTTTCTAAGTTCAGTAATCTCGGATGCAAGTCTAGAGTTTAACTCTCTCAAGGTATTGATTGTTAATTGATCGTTTGACATTGTTTTACATAAAACGTGGTTATATTCAAAAGGTTAATCACATGAAAAAATTTTGGTGTGTAAAAATCGTGTCAACACGTCTTTGCTTTATTGATTGTAATAAAAAACGAAAAGAATTATTGTTTCTGTACTATTGCCTATACTATAAATTTTCATTTGTCTAAACTACCTATCTACCTATCTATACTAACACATTATCTCAATATTAACTATAATCTGGTTTCATTTGTTATCGATATTCGGAATAAAATAAAAATGGTTATCAGTTATACTTATAATATTAACCTTAATAACCATAATAAAAAAGTTTTCCCTTCTGTGATACTAATAAATTCGTATGTAAGAATAGTCATTAGAAATTGATTCATGAAATGCACTGTCAAAACCGAAATATTCATACCTTAATTGCATGTTCTGAACTTCTGCCAAAAGATAAATTATTTCTGATTGCAAATCCGATATACAACATACCTTGACAATTTGAACTCACTTTTAAGAAGTTGTATCTGCACATCTCCACAAAAACCATATGATTCTGATTGTATGTACAATTCCCATATTTATGAAGTTTGCGTTACCATACCACATTTGTAGTCACGTTGTTTCGCGACCTATAATAATTTTTTTCATCTTCCTAACTACACATACCGAAACGATCATGACCACTAGACCTAAGTTTGTCAAAAAACAACCACATGAATACTTTAAACGAAAATCATCGGATTGGAATATTCGTGATTTCCTCAAAGAATGTAGTTTGGAATCGTATCAAAAAAAAATAGAGGAATACAATTTATCTCTCAAGTCGATTATTGATAGTGAGAAAGGTAAAAAACGTGAGCAGGCTCAGAAGTTGCTCAACAATTACAATCAAGTAAGTTTTTGATGAAAGTTTTTGAAATAAGTGGCGTGGTAGAGAACGCCAAGCTCGTCTACCATACAAAGTCGCCAAGACTAGCCACGACAGTGTTGGGGCGCAGGGGAACGCCAAGCTCACCTGACGTTTAAAAGTCGCCAAGACTACCGGCACTAGTCAAACACAGGTGAACGCCAAGCTTGCCTGATGTTTTACTGACACTAGTCAGACACAGACAACTTCCAAACACGTCTGATGTTAAGATGAAATAGATGAATCGGACGGATATCACTAATTTTCTTGAGTTTCCATTGTTAGGGTACTCGACCTGACAGAAAAATAGCGAGAGAGTGGGAGGAGGAACACTCACGTAAACAAGTTCACATTCACCAACCGACATTTACGGAAATTGCATGCGGTGGAACTGTCTATGGCGGGGCTAACAGTGGAACAATTAGAATTACAAACGATTCCATTTCAGTTGCTTCAAAGAAAGAAAAAGAACCGGTAGGTCTTTAGGCTTTGTTGTATGGCTATGAAAGAATATCTTTTAGTCAAATATAATTTTTTTATAACCTCTTAGGAAGAAGAGCCATTACTGATGAGAGCGCTTCGAAAAAGAAAGTCCATTAATAATTCTGAACTTGAAGATGTGGAGAAATATAAGAGAGTAAATAAATACCAATGTATTTCAGTTGCCTTGAAACTTAGCGAATGACTTTATTTACATTTATTAATTCAGGTAAAATCCACTCAATCCACAAGTGATAAAGAAGATATTTATGATGAAGAGGCTGATGAAATTGAAACTGAAAGCAATTTAATTGACCTAACTAATTTCGATGTTAACTACCATAGTTTGGACCCGCAAAAAATGTGGACCCTCAAATCTGGTCGTGTCGTTGAAAAAGTAATTTATGAATATGCACGAAACTTGACGCACGAATCCTATTTACACTCATTTATAATCAATAATTCGGATTCGGCTGCCAAATCACTATTTTCGGAAGAGGAGTGGAAGGAAATTACCACCTCAGAGGTTAAAGCTAAACCGAAACTTAAACATTCTCTTGTGGAGTTAATGAAAAAATGCACAGTTGATGATGTCAAAATGTTACGAAAAATTCTTTCTGAATCGTTTTTACCTGATGAAGGAGATTTCGATCTTGATTTTGTTAATTACGCTTACCAAGGAATGTTATTTTTGTGGAGGAAGAAAGAAAACCCTTTTGACTCTTCTAAATTAGAAGGTTGGTACGCAATAAATGTTTGGGGTCGCTTGATTGACCCGGCTTTTGAAAATCTTGATATTGACTTAATACGTGGTGAGGGTATGAGTCTTGCATCAAGTAATAGAAAGAATCATGAAAGAACAATAAATGACCGAAAGAAGATTGGTCGAAAGGGCGATGGAGTTTTTAGGTTATCTAAGGATCGTTTGGAGTTCGGTGCCATAGAGGCAAAGCGTAAATGGGAAGGGGAAAATGGAACAGGATATTTGAAAGATTCCTTGAAATTAAATAAAATGTTGAAGGACATGTTAAACCAGCTTGTCATTGTGTGTAATATGAGAGAAGATTTCGCAAGAAAATTGCAAGTAGTTGGGATGCTTCTTGGAAAAAACAGAATTCAGGTCATCACAGCCGATCTCCCTAAGGGATATGTTACTCGTATCCAACGTAGAAAAATCCATGAAGTTGCAGGTCGTCTAACAAAATTTAAACCGCTTGCTTTCGTTTTGAAGGAGATACTATATGCAAAATCTATCATTATGCAAACATTAGATATTATATACAAGAAGAATGATGTCGATATTGAAAATGATCTTTATGACTCTGATGAACAAGGTGAATATTGCATGCCTCCTACGATCGGTATATCCAAGACAATTGTGACTCCGAGGTCAAGTGAACTTGAGAGTAGACTATAGGTTTCTTCCGCAGTGTGTACTAATTAATAAGGGACAGTAAATAGTATTAATGCGTATTAAATCATAGATAAGTGGAAATTAGCACATCTCAAAATATTGCATTTCTTTGTAATATAGCATTTAATTGAAAAACAAAAAATTTGTTCACCTGTATATAAGATATTAATAAATGCCTTAAAAGGTCACATTTCTTTGTGAATTTTTTTCTACCTCGGGTCAGTGATAGAGAACAATGTTCCCGATTTTGTGATTATTAATAAATTGCAAAAGTATGGGCCTTCGTAATACCTAAAACGGTCAAGTTTTCTTCGCCGATCCTTTCTTGAGTTGATTCCGTCCTCGCTGTTTGATTAAATTATAGGATCATCTTTGAAAGAATTAAATTAAATCACGTGCGCGTTACAATTTGTAACGCAGATCACTTTTGCCAAGAAAAAATCTTAAAAATAAAAATAAATTCGGAAAAAATATGTATATTTGCTTTATTATTACAGGTAAAAATATAAGGCATTTAGGTGCCAAGTACATATATCGGGATAAAAATACAGAAAAAATATCTATCACTTGTTAGACTTTCGTATACGACGTTTTTTAATTTCGTGTTCATCACACATTGAAATCCTATCCCTTAATAACCCCACGATTATTCCAATTACTATTTTAACACCTTTTCTAATCGATTCGAGATCCTCCTTCAATGCTGTTTTGGATAAATTAATCCGATATTCGCTTTTGCTGGTACAATATAAACCTTCCGTAGCGAGTTTAATAAAATGCCACTCCGTAGCTAGAAAAAATAAGCAGAAAATATAACAAATTTTTATGCTGGAGATACTAGCTTTGTAATCAGAAATATTAATTTTACTATACCTGTGGATACTATCCCGTAGAGATAATCATTATCATTTTCAAACGCCTGCTCTGCGGATCGCTTCCTTTTATTCATATGACTCGCGCTCTCCAGTTGCTTTATATTTTGGAGATACCCAATTTCAACATTTCGTGGTTTTCCCTCTGCTATACATATAAGATCCTCACACCCCTTGATTGAATAATCGACACGTCCGGAGGAGTCTTCACCAGATACATCATCTTGGTATGCAATATATATTTTTTCATTGTTGGTGAGTTTTCGAGTAATTGCAATTGATGCGTTTAGGATAGATGTAATAAAAACACAACGGGTTGCTTCATTGGTACTGTCTTGTATGGTCTCCAAATTCGAAAGTCTTAATATAATTTCCTTCATACACCGTTTGAGAGCTTTATCATCATCACCGATTTCTTCGTAAACTGTAGGGGTGGGATCCCATTGCCGCGCAATAAAAAATATGTATCGTTAGTCAACTGCATTCGGTAGTACAAGTATTCTCTTACAAAAAAGAAATATATACCTGGATTAAATTGCTTTATACACGTAATTTTTTCACCATTGACTTTATATTTACGAAGAACCTCCTTCAACTTATCTAATGTTTTATATGACGAGAAAGCCTGTAATTTTGTTCCATTAAGCCCTTCGATAAATTCTGATAATTTAATAACAGGACCTATTTCAAATCCACATCGTTCAAGTCGTTCTTCTGTTAATTTCAAAAAAGATAAGCCATCTATTTTTTTATTACGAAGAATTGCAAAGTCATCTTTATCTAATTTCAGATTATTCCTATCCAAATAGTCGATAAGCTCCTCAGTATCATAATCTTTAATAACATCCCCCCATGGTACGAGTTATTATTTCTTCGTCGGAGTATATGCTTGAGGGTGTGGAAGGTGAAGAAGGCGAAGAAGCGTGAGAAGACATATTTTTTATATTGTATACGGCGTAAAAAAATCTGGTTTATGCACTACGTTTGTAAGTGAGATAATGCGAGTAAAGAAAATGAAAAAAAATTTCGTCTCTGTTTTAGGTGATCAGTGGCTATTTATAGTATATGATTATGCAGGTTATAAAGCTGGCAGACACACGACGATCTCGGAGATTGCGGAGATTTCGAAGCTTCATAAGTAGCAATTTCTGATAACGACTCTAATAAATTCTTTCTACCTATGTCATTTTCATGATTTATTTGTGCTGGTTCTCATTACAAAGCATATGAGTGGGAAATATATGGATAATCTATGTTGTACCAACTTCCATGCTCCTGTAATGTATCAGCGATAATACAATTATATCGATCTACGGATTCGTGCATCATAAATCCATGGCATTGGTTCTTTACTGGTGACCAGATTTCGTATTAAATCAAGGCAATATATTAGTAGCGATTGCAATAAATCATAATACACATAATGGAATGCACGTGGCATTAAACATGACCCTTTAGGTCACCCCTTTGGGCTTTATTATAACAAAATAAAAAACATTGCCCGTAGTAAGGCTGATATAAAAATAAATTTGCGAATACATATTCATGAAATGCATGGATATTATCCGATAAAAAATCTATTTATTCAGGGAGGAATACTAAAACGTGAATTTCATCTTCATTAATATCTCTGTCATAATATTTAGAAATTTTTGTCATTGCTTTCATTCTCATTCCACCTGCCGTTTGAAGATTGATTTTTGTAGAAGGAACATTATTTGTTAGGGGTGCTAATCGTTTCTTTACCAAGGGTTTGAGCATATCGACCTTTTTTTCTTTAGGAATTTCGATTACAAAAACTTCTTCATCATTTTTGTCACCATTGATGCGAAAGTTGAGACTAATAATGCCAGACATTTTTGTGGTTCCTAAAACGAAGATTCATAGTGAGTAAAATTCCTTGTATAGATGAATAATTTCTTGTAAATAATATCTGAATTGATGCAATGTAATATTTCTTCAGGATTATGTGTACCTTAAAAAAATGTGAGTAAGGACTGAGTCTCCCAAAACCTACTTATTTATATACTTCACGAAATCCAAAACTCTCTAGAGGAATCTTACCTTTATCATTCAAATCTCCAATAAGTCTACTTACGATCTGTTCATTCTTAACATAGTAATTATAAAATCAGCGAGATTGAAGTAAACCTGTTATATTGTCATATGCAACGAAACACCAAGAATTCAATAAAGCTGAAACATATATATATTTGGTATTATTGAGGAGAATGAATTCCATTTAGATAAGACGATCATTCTGATAAGGCTAAATCTCGATGATCTCGCAATCTTGCAATCTCGACTTCCCATAACTTGAGATTTTTGTTAATCCTACTAATAAAACATTAACGGTCTATTTCTTTTTATATCCTTTTCGAGTTTCGTTTAGCATGTTCTTATCGAAAAGCATATGTGGTATAGAAGTATTTTTCAGATTAAATAAAACGAAAAAAATACGTATAACGATTATCTATGCTGCACAAGAATGTTCTACAAACTTCTATATAGAAACTGGATCGCACGAAACTTGTGAGATCAATTCTATTAATTTTCCCAAAATAAAGTTAACCCCACATGATCGACTCTGCATCCATATTAATGTTTCGATCACGGGTAATAGAAATGTCAACGTAAAAAAATCCGATTATCACGTTTATTAATGCAGTTAAAATGTCTTACTACAAACGAAATTATGCCAGAAGTGATGGGTGGTGCATTTCCAAGTATACATATAGTTCAGTATAATCAATGGAGCTAACCAAAAAAAAATATATATGGCAGATGGATAGGTCGACTTGCTTTCCCTACATTTGATAAATAAAAAATCTCAAAATGAAATTAATAGAATTAGCACATCGTTTATTGGAGAGTCAAAGACTCAATGCTCAGCATCATCATGGTTTTTCCAGTTCGGAAAAAAAAGATAGATAAGATAAAATTATCAAAAGTACTTAATGTATCAATGGTTTAGTTATGTGTGAGTACACAACACGTCTTAGCTTTACCTTAAATTCTGAAAAATATCTTTAGCTATATCTCTTACGAAGAACATTTTATTAATAAGTCAATTTTGTTCGATCAATTCAGGTAAATCATCCTATTCTTCTAATTCTGCTAAATCCCAATCTTCTATAGTATCCCAGGAAATTATTTCTTCTGCAATCTGTTGTATGTTATATTTAACGATTTCCCTTTTCTGTTTATATAACATTCCATTGATAAGCATATACTTTTCAATCTCTACCTGTTTTTTTGTAGTCTCAAGTAGCTTTGCATGATATTCCATATAATCATCATCTAAATATAGATTTGGTGCTATCTTTAATATTTTATCTTTTTCAAGCTCCATGGATTTATAACCTTTTAACACTTGTACCTTCCATCTTTTCTGGAGTTTGTGCTGAATTTCTTTGTACCAAGTGTAATTTATCCAACAGAATTTGTTGAGATTTTCCAATGAAAGTTTTTGAACGATTTCAGCTATAGTATCCAAAATAATAAGTGAATTATATGTATACATATTATATATCTCAAACGTGTGGATTTATTTGATAATAGAGAATTTTTACGCTTTTATTATTGCAGTTTCTGCTAATTGTTTTTTAAATTCTCTAAATTCTGGATTATATGCTATTTGTTTTCTCAT